CCCCTTGGATAAGGCCTACGTATATAGGATGTGGGAGTAGACATTCCTGTGCCATTCTGTGTCGGAGGTATAATATTCGGTGCTTGCTAGCAATGCTTTTTTTTTTTCTCTTGCTAAACCAGCTCCAGGCACACATTTAGAAAAATCTGTAGAAAGTTTTCTATATCTTAAGTCTCTTGAACACAAGGAAGGGCTGATTGTCATGCGAGGGCCCTTTTTGTTACTCTGGCAAAAATAGGAACAGCTTTGTCCTAACAGGCCATTAGATGAATACCAGACTGTGTCACATGAAAAACCACTGATCTTTAACCCAGCAATCTATTAAACCAAACCTAGAAAATGAATAGTGAATAAGGGAAGAGCAAAGGCCAGTTTTCTGTCATTACAAATTATAGAATCTGTTAACAGCTGCAGCAAAGTGAACTCTGGGAATTACAGGTACTGTACAGTAAGTCGATGGAGCATACAAAATACTTAACAATACTCTTATATGACTGGACCCCTCCCTGCCAATTAGCCCAAATAAGTTTTCCTAAAACATGCAGCATTTTTCAAGTTCAGAAAATCTGAGATTTGAGAATCATTGGAGGAAGAAGCTCCCACACCTTTCCATTCTTTTGCCTCTCTGCACTCTCCTGTTTTCAGACTAACATGAGAAGATGATACAATTAACAGTCCATCACATTCTAAAAACAGGTTCCCAAGCCAGGGTTTTGACTATTGGACTAAAAACTGATGTGTTTCCCAACATCTGCTTATAAACTGGGTGTCTTGAACCATGTATGTCCCTAATTTGAGAATCCTGTCTTTAGGAAAGAATCCTAATACGTTGTTCCAAGTTAGACAGGGTCCAAACTTCATAGATGCAATTACCCATCCATATGATTTGCTAGGTAAAAATAAGCCCTATTTTATATGATTTTGCACTGAACCCAAATGTGTGGATAAATCAACACTCCAAAGGATGTCCCATTGTGTATAGTGAGAATTACTCACAGGAAACTGCCTGCGATTGCACCCACAATTCAGAGAAATAATCATTAAAATATTCATAAAAATGCATAGCCACTCCTGTGATCTTTTTCTCACACACAGTGATTTTCTATATAGTCCACATAGGCATTTATGGTAAACGACTAGATATTAGGAAAACAAATATTGTAACCATTAGTAACATTTTTAAATGGTCAGTTGTGGGAATTAATACTTGCAGGAAAGCATCATCTTTTCTTCTGTTGGTGGTTGAATTGTATTGTCTCCCCACAGTCTTGTTAGTTCAAACTAACTGAAATGTAAATTTTTCTATTAATTAGACTTCACGGAATGTGCATATATGATATATAGCTATATGACTGTAGACATTTTTAAAATTCTGTAATTATTTTCCTTATTAACCTTTGAAAGTATAACAAAAAAAAACACTTTTAACATTTTACATATAAGTGAACCTTAGTGATCATACATTTTAACATAGTTGAACTAGCAAAGCAGTAATTGGAGCTAAAAGGGAAAAGTACAGTATTTTTCTTTCTAAAATATTTTTTCTAATTAAGTGAAAAAAAATACAAAATTGCAACAAGATTATTGAATTGCTATTAGGTAAAGAATTTTGGGAGCTGAAAGCATTTCATCCTGTTGCCATGTGATCATGTGTGCTGCTTTAAAAGTTAAAATATTACAAACAATGTTTGTATTTTAATGTTTTGAAATACAGTATATCCAACTGAAGGAAGAGTAGAATAATACAGTAATTAATTTCAAAGGGAAAAATCAATTCAGGGTTTAAATGTTGAGACTAGTGTTTGGAAACAAACTAATGTATCAGTTTCTATGAGGGCTACTCAGACGTTTTAGTAATCCTGGTCAGAAAGTATTTGTGTGTAAGAATTAATATGCAATTTGTATGTAAATGTTCTGTTTTGCTGTATTGAAAATAGTGAAATGTCACTATTTGCACCATCTTTCTCTTTCACAACTCTTGTGTCTGTGCCTAGACACATAGGTTGCTAACACTAATAATATTCCATGTTGGAATTTGTGAACTTTTAAAGCATTCCTGGAGCTGAAACATGCTGCAGACTGACCCTATTTCTGTTGAGTTGGAAGTTTGCCTTATTGAGTCCAGTGGGGTTTACTCCCAATACTATAGGTTTCCCCTCTGTGTGGGACTCTTGGTTCAGTGTTTTTACGCTGTATAATTTTTGCAGAGGTTGCTGTTACTCCTTAAGTGATCACTCAGTAATTTGTTGAACTTTGTGTCCTGTACACTGTTGTACAAAGACATCTGGTATGAGTTTCTTTACTTCTTAATTATAATAGAACTTTCATTGCTTTAATAGGAATATGCCATTAAATGTACTTAGTGGTGAGGGAAGCCATAATAGACTCTTCTTGTTGGCTTCCTCTTTATTGTATTAGCAGTCTCGTCCCCCCCCCCCCATTAAATGTACTTAGTGGTGAGGGAAGCCATAATAGACTCTTCTTGTTGGCTTCCTCTTTATTGTATTAGCAGTCTCATCCCCCCCCCCCCTGCATTTCTCTGGAATGCCAAGCTGTGGCTGCTGTGGGACGGGCTCCTTCTAATGCCATGTGCCACAGTTGTGGAGTCTTCCATTCCCTTACTCTTCGGTAGGTAGAATTTTGGCTGCTGCCTAGAGAGACCAGATTTGGATGTATTAGCTAGTCAGCCTAATAACCCTGTACAGACTGTATTGATTTTCTAGAAGAGAGTTTATGAACTAAATAAACTTGGAGTTGGTGTCTTAATAAACTGCTTCTCTCAGACTGTCACATTTAGTTACAGAGCTGTGCAGTTTAAGGGGCGGGGGAGGCTAATTCTGTTACAGATTGTTCACAGCAGGGTCTCCAGATTAGCCCTTTGTTTTGTAATGCCACCTTGCTTGGGCTCGCTTTGAGCACATTTCTCAGTTTTACCCT